TCATCTGGGGCTGGTACAGTAGGCCAGAAGTGGCCGCAGTACAAGGGACTAGTCCCACCCCACTAGCAATTAAAAAAAATTGTGTTACTTGTCACATGAAATAATCAAATTGCAGTGGTAAGAAACTAGGCAGTTCTTTCTAGAACTTCTTATTTGACATATTGTAACCAAAGTTAATCTAAAGTTTGTGGACAGTACCCCTTTGGACCAAAGTCTTCGCATTATTCATAATGCTGTGTAGTCAATATATTTAGAATTGCCACTTCATATACAGTGCCACAATCTGCTGTCATGGTACACAACACTATGGCCGAATGTGCAAGCTTTGACAGATATGTTAGAATTGTGATTTTTTTACTCATAACACAATCTTTAACAAATATTACTTAAAAAATGTATTTTGTCTGCCATTTATACGAGGGTTGGAACTTTAATAGTGGCAACACTGCTGTATAGACGCCATGCAAGGGAACCAAATAATGTCGCTTATACACACGTCAATTACATACCTACCTTACCTCAGAGCAAATGGACTCGCCCTTCCCACATCACGCACATGCACAGTGACTAGAAGAACATAGCTGGCGGTCTAATGTAGTGTTGTCACGATGTTTTCAAAACGGGAACACCGGAGGTGGATAAAGATTGAATTACCAGATGCTGTACAGCATGACTGTCCTCAAGGTCTTCAAGAGGCTTGCGGGGAATCTGCATTGCCTTACAGAACAGTGGCAAGGTGGGTAAAAGCCTTCAATGAGGGACACCAAAATGTGGCAGACATGCATCGGCCAGGTTGTCCTAGTGTCAGTGAAGAAGTGTATGCTCTTTCTGTGTTACTGGAGAGTGATCGATGCCATATGATTTGTGAGCTGTCCCGAGAGACAGGATTAATGCATATGACTGTGCTTCACATTCTGAAGGAACACCTGGGCATGAGAAAAATTGCATCACGATGGGTTCCGCATGATTTGACAGAAATGCAGATGTGGCTACGATACAACGCTGCTCATGACCGCTTTGAGCGCTATGAGTGTGAAGGAGAGGCTTTCTTATGCCATATCATTACACTGGATGAGACATGCACCAAATCATATGAGCCACAAATGAAACGCCAATCGAACGAATGGCGTCATTACCGGTCCCCACGAAAATCAAAAGTTCGTCAGAACCCCAGCAATGTGAAAGTTGTGGTGATTCTCATGTATGACTGTGATGGTGTTATCCTAACACATACCATTCCCCGACAGCAGACAGTCAGTGTGCAGTATTACTGTTCATTTTTGGAACACAACCTGCAACC